TATATATATATATATATATATATAAGGAGCCAAGATGGCCACTACTTCCAGAGGATCATGTGTTTCATACATTTTATTTATAGGCGCCTTTAAAGACTCAAGGTCACCTTACAATAGTACAAAAAACATAAGGTAAATGATTTTTTTTTTTTTAAAGCATGAAAGTATAAAAGCTAAACAAGGTAAAAAAATAGATTAAGACGGAATCACAATGAAGGCCATGCAATTTTGAATAGATGGATTTTACGATGTGATTTAAAAGTGGTGAGAGAGTTGAGAGTGGTAGTCAAGTGCAAGGTGCAAGGTTATGAAGCGCTTTGAAAGTAAGAAGCATCTTGAAATTGACACGGAGGTGAAATGGAAGCCAATGGAGCTGTTTAAGAACAGGTGTTATATGTTCATTATATTTGATTCAGAATATAAAATCAGTAGCTGTATGTTGAACTAACTGCAATTTATGGAGAGATTATGAGGTAGACCACAGAGAAGAGAATTGCAGTAATCTAAACGAGATGTGACAAGAGCATTGACAAGTATGGTGGTACTGTTTGGAGTGGGTGAAGGACGAAGGCGGTTAATATTACAAATATGAAAATTTGAAGACGGCGTGATATTATTTATATGTGCTGTGAAGGAAAGAGTGCTGTCAAGGATCACACCAAGACTCTTAAACTGAGGGGAAGGTGTGACAACAGAGTTGTTAATGGATAATGAAAAACTTCTGGTTGGAACTTCAGTCTGTTTTGATTTGGTGCCTATTAGAATAAATTCTGTTTTATTGCCATTAAGTTTAAGAAAGTTGTGAGTAAACCAAACCTTGATTTCACTTAAACAATCAGAAATGTGGGAGAGTAGCTGTGGGTTTGGAAGACAAGTAGACCTGGGTGTCATCTGCATAGCAGTAAAATTGGATGTTATATTTCTTGAAAATATTACCTAGGGGTAGGAGATACATAATAAAAAAGAAAGGACCTAGGATAGAGCCGCAATTAACTGGAGTAGATAGTGATCTGTGAGTGAGCAAGTGAATAAACTGTGAGCAGCCAGAGAGATATAAGGTAAACCAGGCGAGTGCTGTACCATTGATCCTAATAGATGCTAATCTATGAAGAAGGATGTGGTGAGAGACAGTATCGAAAGCTGCTGTAAGCTCAAGGAGAATGAGGACAGTGATGACTCCAGTCAGCTGCAAGCAGAAGATCATTTGTTATTTTTACTAGAGTTGTTTCTGTACTATGAAATGAATGGAAGCCAGACTGAAACTGTTCATACAAGTTATTACCAGTGAGGTGTCTATGAACCTGTGCATTCACTATCTTTTCCTGAATTTTGCCTGCAATAACTGAAAAGGTGACACCTTGATACTGGCCTGAAAGGTTTGATGAAAAAAAAAAAGGGGGGGAGACATATGAAAATATGATTTATTTATTTTTTTGCCTAGATCATTTTTAAAGAGGCTGAACAAATGGCTGTATCCTGACCTGAGAGTTTCCAGTCTGCATTCTGGGCTTTTTAGTCCTTCACAGAGCAGCATCACAGCTGAATCCTCCAAGTTATTGTTACTCAGGTTCAGCTCTCTCAGACTGGAGGGCTTGGAGTCGAGAACAGAAGCCAGTGCCTCACAGCTTTTTCCTGATAGGTTGCAGCAACAAAGACTAAAAAAAGGAACAAGTAACAAAATAGTGTGATGACAACAACTCATTGTCCTTAACATGCAGCTGTTTTCCACTACTGCCAAAAAATAAAGATAAGCATTTGAAAGATATTTTGTTAAGTTACAGTTATTATAGAATCACATTTATCAAAAATTATTAAATAACAGTAGTTAAACTTTTAGCAGCATTAGCAGCATTAACAACAGTGGACCCTTTTAAAGAGCCAGTTATTGCAAATAAATAAATAAATACATACATACATACGTACATAAATACATGTTTTAATCTGATAATAGTCCATTATAATGAAGAAATTACATTACTGATTACACATTTGATGACATGTATTAATGCTAAAGCAGGTTTTAAATAACTATTTGATTCTTTTAATCCTAACCTGAGTGTTTCCAGTTTGCAGTGTGGACTCTGTAATCCTTCACAGAGCAGCTTCACTCCGGAATCCTGTACGTTGTTGTAATTCAGGTCTAGTTTTCTCAGACTGGAAGACTGGGAGCTAAGAACTGAGGCCAGAGGCTTCAAACTTCTCTCTGACAGGTTACAGCAACTCACCCTAAAAGTATTTGCAACAAAAAGTATTTGAACTGACAGATCTTTTTATACACCTTTATACATTTAATTTATACAGGTATTTTAACCTACACAGCTTTAGTAAATGCTTTGACCACTGGCAGCAGCCTCAGAAGAACCTCCTCTGAAGTGGAGTATTTATTCAAGTCAAACACATTCAGCTCTTCTTCTGATGACAGTGAGATGAAGACCAAAGCTGACCAATGAGAAGTAGACAGTTTATCTATGGGCAAACGTCCTGAGCTCAAGTGTTGTTGTATTTCTTCTGTTAGAGAATGATCATTTAGCTCATTCAGACAATGAAACAGGTTGATGCTCTTCTCTGGACAGGAAGTGGAACTGATCTTACTCTTGATGTACTGGACTGTTTTGTGATTGGTCAGTGAGCTGCTTTCTGTCTCTTTCACTAAACCATGTAGCAGTCTCTGATTATTCTCCAAAGATAAACCAAGGAGGAAGCGCAGGAATAGGTCCAGGTGTCCATTTGGACTCTGTAAGGCCTGGTCTACAGCATTCTGGTAGAGAGATAGTGAATCAGGTTCGGCTTTAAACAGTCTGGACCACACTGAAGTTCTTTCTGACATCAAATTGACTCCAGAATTGAAAAATGTCAGATAAACATGAAGAGCAGCAAGAAACTCCTGAACACTCAGATGAACAAAGGAGAACATCTTGTCTTGGTACAATCCACGTTCCTCTTGAAAAACTTGTGTGAATACTCCTGAGTACCAAGAGGCTGCTCTGATATCAATGCCACCCTCTGTCAGATCTGATTCATAAAAGATCAGGTTCCCTTTGTTCAGCTGCTCAAAAGCCAGTTTTGCCAATGACTTGATCATCTTTCTGGTCTCTGGAGTCCAGTGTGAATCTGTCACAACTCCTCCATCATACTTGATGTTCTTCAGTTTGCACTGAACCACCAGGAAGTGAATATACATCTCAGTTAGGGTCTTGGGCAGCTCTCCTCCTTCTTTTGTTTTTAATACCTTCTCCAGAACTGTAGCAGAGATCCAGCAGAAGACAGGGATGTGGCACATGATGTGGAGGCTTCGTGACCTTTTGATATGGGAAATAATTCTGCTTCTCTGCTCTTCTTCACTAAATCTCTTGTGGAAATATTCCACCTTCTCCATGTCGTTGAAACCTCTAATCTCTGTCACCATGTCTACGTACTCAGGTGGGATCTGATTGGCTGCTGCAGGTCGTGTGGTTATCCAGACACAAGCAGAGCAAAGCAATGTCCCCCTTATGATGTTTGTCAGTAGCACATCCAATGAGGTGGACTCTGTAACATCAGTCAGGATATCAGTTTTGTGGAAGTCCAGTGAAAGTCGAGACTCATCCAAACCATCAAAGATAAACAAAACCCTAAAATCCTGGAACCTGCAGATTTCTTCTTCTGTCATTTCAGGAAAGAAGTGATTAACAAGTTCCACCAAACTAAACCTTTTCTCTCTCAGCACATTCAGCTCTCTGAAGGAAAATAGAAATATGAATTGGATATGCTGGTTGCCTTTGCCTTGAGCCCAGTCCAAAGCAAACTTCTGTGTTAAAACTGTTTTCCCAATGCCAGCCACTCCCATTGTCATGACTGTTCTAATTGGTTCATCTCTTTCAGTAGAGGGTTTAAATATGTCTTCTTGTTTGATTTTTGGTTCAATTCCATCTGATTTCCTGGATGCTGCTTCAATCTGTCTGACTTCATGCTCAGAGTTGACCTCTGTAAATCTCCCCTCTGTGATATAGAGCTCTGTGTAGATCTTATTTAGAAGAGTTGGATTTCCTGCTTTGGCAATCCCTTCAAACACACACTGAAACTTCTTCTTTAGACTTGATTTTAGTTTGGCCCCATAAGCTCCTAAAAAGAAAAATGATAAATTGTATTAATTAGACCATTGTACAGGTATCTCAATTTCCCTACTTTAAAACAAAGACAAACTGGGTGACAGAAAAATAATAAAACGCTGAAACAAACAAAGCCAAATTTATCTCTTAATGAAATGGTAGGAAATAGTTTATTTTGGGGTTTTTGGTTGACAGGTTAATTTTATGCACATGCAAGATTAAAATAATCCAAAATAATCTAAAATCTATAAGCAAAATAATCAACTTCTTGTGATTCACTGGCTGATTCAGTAAAGAACATTACTTAAAGAAAAAATGGGATTTTTACTACCCAGAAAGTTACTTTTGATATAACCATACCTACGTATCAATTTTAATAATCTACTACACAAGTAAGTTTGGACAGTATGCATAGCCAAGAAGATCTTTAAAGATGTAATGTTTTGTATAAAAGATTTCCAGCACCTGAGATTTAAATTGTCTTGGCTTGTATGTTTGTTATGAATCATCTACCATATTAAAAACCTCTTACTGTTTTGCAGAGAGTCAGCCAGCTCTCCATGTTTCATTCCTCTCATGACCTGCAGTGTGATTTTCAGAAAAGCGTCTCTGCTCCTCCATATCTGGTCTTCATCTTCACTATTATTTATTTCCTCGTCCTTAGCTTGACTCTCCAAGCATTTTGGGTAATCTGGACTCAGCAATTTACGGAATGTCTTCAGCTCATTTTTCACAAAAGTAACAATGTTCTCCTCAACAACCTGTAATACAATAATACTCATTTAAGTTTCAGAAGCAGAAATGTATCTCTGTCAGAAGCTTTGATTCTACATGTCATAGGCCTACATTTGTGTCCAAGATTTATTATTATGTACCTTCAGTTGACTCCTTCCTATCTTCTTTCTATATCTAGGGGAGAGCCATGTATACAAACGCATTCCACCCACATGTATACATTATCTTATTCTTTTTGTTGTCTTTGTATAGCTGAGGGTATGAACACTACAAAATAGCTTCACCTCAGTTCTTTCTTTACCACAAAAGACTCACGCAAAACACTCCCTCTCTGCACTTTTTTTTATCATGAACAAAACCCAACCTGAATTCCTCCACTTGGGGAAACAGCTCCTCCCCAATTTGGAGTGAATATTTTACCCCTATTTATACCCTTCATAAGAAACACTGCTTCAGACTTTGTGCAAATTCTCATTCCAGCCATTTTACACTAAGTTTCAAGTAGAGGTCAATACTTGATGACAAAGGGCAATATCATGTGCAAAAAGATTTGACCCTGAGAGGTTCAACTAATGGGTAGACTCTCCTCTACCCAGGAATGAGGAATTTTTTCCATCTGACATTCTATCCCCTTTTTTTAACAAGTAAACCCTTACCCCAGTGTGCCAAACCAAAGGTTATCAACCAACCATGTCAATCAAGATGGCCCAGCAACATCTAAAGCCTTGAGGAACTCAGGGTTAAACTCATCCACCCCAGCTCCCCCCAATTCCCAAAGTATTTCTTTCACATTGTGACTATATCACCACTTTGCTTGGCCTGGCCTTGTTTCTGTCAGTTCCCTGCTGAGTCCAGTTAGATAATACATTAGATCAAGTGTCAACCATCTGGTTGTGCAAGTGCCATCACAATAGGCTACAGCCACAGTGTCAAAATATGTTTAGGTGAACAAGACCAGTTGAAGTACTCTATTTCTTTTATTTATTTCCAGTTAGAGGGCTGCTTATGCAGTTACTAACCAGAAATATGGAGTCCAGGTCTGTCTCCTCTGGCATTGTCTGGTGATCTCTGTGGGCAAAACATGACTCATTATTGATGATTACTAAACTAGCTCCCTCTTATACTGCTAGGGAGTCAAATAACACATCAGTAGTGCCACTCACTTATTGAGACAGAGGCAAGTTTAGATTTTGGCATTGTAAAGTGTTTAAAACAAAGAAAAAGGAATAAGAGAACAATTTATTCTGTAAACAAAGAGGAGACATATTTGTATACATAACAAAACAACACAACATATTCATTTTGGGACAGAACATATTAAAACAAATGTACCTTAAAAAAAGAAACTACATTAAATAGAGCCCATGGTGCTTGCCTCAGAAAGTCTGTGCCTACTGACTGACACACTTGACGGCAAGAGAAACAAACAACATAAATCTTTTTAATACCGATCTCAAAGTTATGCTAAAAACTGCATTGTTGACTTACTCTGTAACTGATTCATGTTGGTTGAAACCAAGAGGGTAATCCATGGATCTCTGGCTCTCCATGGATACACAGCTTTGTGAAGGTGAGTTTGAATGTTCCTGCTTAGTCCTCAAAGAAATGGAGCATACAAAAAAGTCACATGGAAGTTCTATAGACTTCAGTCACTGACAGGGGAAATGGTAAGTGGTACTAATTACCATACATAGCCAGACAAATTAGAAGAAAGGTACTCCCCTCATACCTCATACTGTTTAGGATGTTGGAGATTTGATGTTTTACTTCATGATCACCAAGTGATTTATTACTTACTACTCATACTTAGATATATATTAATTGGATTTTTTTCAATATGTTTTATGTTTTAATTAAGTTTATGGATGTACTTTTATACTCTGGTTTGTGTGTGATCTGAAAATGGAAAGCTGTGAGAACAGAAAACTATTTGCAAGCTGAGGTTAAATAAATATATCTGTCCAGGAATGCTTCCAACATATGTTTAACTGCTAACCAATGTAATGTATTTAACATCCATGTGAAGAGTTTTACTGAAAATAAATGAATTAAAATATAGAATGTAGAATAGAAAGAAATATTTTTAGGAGCATGGTGGACAAAAAAAATATGACTGATTATGTAGATAATCAGTTTTATTAACTAGTTTTTCCTTTCACCGAATGTATCATTTAAAAAAATGAGTGTTGATTTTATTTGGAAATAAATCTTACTGTTTAAAACCAAGAGGGTAATCCATGGATCTTTCACTCTTCAGGGACACACAGCTTTTCTGCTCAGTCCTGAAAGAAATGGAGTATCAAGAAATATAACTCTGTTGATTAACTGTATTGTTAACTTTCACGATATAAATACACATTTTTTCCAAAATAAATTTAATTCCATTCACTGGCTTCAGAAATATTCACTATATATAATTAGGTCCATATATATTTGGATACTGACATAAGTTTTGTTTTCTGTTTACTGAAACATATTCCAGTTAAGAACAGAAAAAACCCATTGGAGAAATTTCTACAATATTAGGAGTGGAAAAATCTTCCGTTTTGTACAGGCTGAGAAAGAAAGAAGGCACTGGTGAACTCAGCAACCCAAAAAGTCTTCGATATCTACAGAAGACAACAGTGGTGGGTGATTGCAGAATCATTTCCGTTGTGAAGAGAAACCTCTTCACAACAACCAACCAAGTGAACAACATTCTCCAGGAAGAAGGCGTATCGATATCCAAGTCTGCCTTAAACAGAAGACTGCATGAAAGTGAATACACACGGTTCCCTGCAAGGTGCACGCCACTCATAAGCCTCAAGAACAGATAGGTTAGATTGGGCTTTGC